TCTATCTATCTATCTATCTATCTATCTATCTATCTATCTATCTATCTATCTATCTATCTATCTATCTATCAGCAAATGTCACTAACAGGGAAGAATGGAAGATCATGTCTGCAAACTATAATACATTTTATTGACTCAGTTTTGTAAGGCGTTCTACTCACACCAATCTTCTAAAAAAAAAACTAAAAAAAACTTGCAGGAACTTAAAAAAGGAGCCACAAATTCCATTCATAATTTAAACATAAATTGCACAATTTCCCTACCTACCTGGCGAAACACGTGATGTCAAATGTATTTAAAACCACTTACTGAGTGTCTTGATTGTGGAAACATCATGTCAGGTCCTTTGTGTTTGTTGCTCCCACGCACGACAAACTGCGGTCAGATTGTTTATATTTTCCTCGTTCCGTTGGTCCTTTGTCCAAAGCTAACCCCGCCGTACACAGGAGCTGTCCAGGGTTAGCAGGATAACTAGCTAACAGCAGCTAGCGCACACCCGCCTCCCTCCACCCCCGAAAAAAAGAATAAATTCAAGCTAAGTGGTGTACTTTCCAATAAATGAACGAGTCGGTAGAGTTTATGGGTGAAATAAGACTATTCTGCAGTCTGTGAGCAGGGAACCACCATCGGTGCTGCTTCGGCTAAGCTAGCTAATTCTTCCGAAGCTGTCAGTCAAAATGATTCATCGCTCTCCACCTTTCTGCTCAAACGGCGGCGGCGGTTCAGAACCTGTAAATTAATCACGTTTTGTACGCGGAAACACGTCCGGATGGAGGCAGCAGGCGGACAGGGGGGCGCTGTTTTTCTCTCCCCCTGCTGTTCAAAAGCTTTTCACTTCGCTTTCCCTACACGATCTGACGCGGAACTCAACAACTACAAAAAAAAAAACAATTCTGAGAAATAAAATATCTGCGGATACGTTTAACTAGTTCAGTGCTGTATCGGTCAACAGTGAAGTCAAATAAAAAGAAAAAAAATGTCCGTGAAACATAAAATCGCTGAAACGGCAAATCAGTTCCCGAACAGCTGCAGTTTAAACTCTTCAGTGTTAATTCCTTAAAACCGAGCAGTGCTGGAAAAGTCAGTCCTTTCCTGGAGCTGGTACAAGGACACGACGCTGCTAAACTGCCCACCTCCCCCAGCACAGACAAAAAGCTGTTAGATGAGCTGTGAGCCGATCTACGCATCAAAGATCTACATTATCAGCAAGCTCATGTCTGTGCAAACAGCGCCTCTAGTGGACAGGTTGCGAAATTACAACATGACGCTGCTCTGAGCCGTGGAAGTTACCAAATAAACAGAAAATAAATAAATACAAAATAGTAAATGATGTGGAAACAGAATACAAAACATTGCACTCTACCAATTTACAATAAGGGCCCTCTTAAATATGACTATTTAATAGGGGACAGATCCTAATTAAGCTGTAAATGCCTAATAAAACATTTAAAAATGCATTTGATGACCCAACGTTAATTTCCACGCTCACTGTTGGGTGACTTGTACTTTTCTGTTTATTAGTCAGTTTATTAGTCAGTAAGTTAAACTTGTATGTAAGCAATACGAACATTTGTAAACAATGAATGATAAACAGTTTGTTTTACATATAAGCTGAGCAACTAGAAAAAATACTTCAGCATCAAAATGAACAAAAGCAAAGTGCTTACAAACTGTTAACTAGCAACACATTAATAATTCTTTTTTTTAAAGGTACCATTATTTTACTGTATTTACTACACAAGTTCAAAACAAAATGTATTTATGTTTATAAATTTTTTGATTTCTTCATCTTCATCAGTTTATATTTTGAAATGTTTTTGTGTGTGTGTGTGTGGGTCTATTCTCAATGTAAATTGAGGGAGTGGTGGTGTAGAATTTAGAGAAGGTGGGCCTGTGAGTGGAAGATCACCAGTTCAACTCCCAGTGCCAAGAACGTCAAAATGTGGGTGGGTTAGGTGAAACACCCTCCGCCCTCATTTGCCCCACTCTGGGCCCTTGAGCAAGGCCCCATTTGTTCCTCCGGGTGCCCTAGATAGCAGCTCTCTGCTCCACACAGAAAGCTGCAGTGGTAGACCAGTGGTCTGTGGTTGTGTCAGGAAGGGCATCAGGCATAAAATCAATTGCCAAGTCTTCGTGCGAGTTAGTTCACTGTGGCGACCCCTGAAGAAGGGAGCAGTCAAAAGAAGAAGAAAGAAAAAAGAATTCTCAATGTAAACAAAACACTCAGCTAAATCCACGAGAAAAAATAAACTTGATGCCTCAGTCACTGAATTTGACTGGCTCCTCGCAGGGCTGTGTGTTGAGCCCCCTCCTGTTCACTTTGCTCACTTATGACTGTGCACCTACCCATCCAGGCTGTCATATTGTAAAGTTTGCAGATGATACAGCGGTGGTTGGATGCATCACAAACAATGATGAGTCCAGCTACAGGCAGGAGGTGGAACACCTGGAGAGCTGATGCAGGAAGAACAACCTTTACATCAATGTGAAGAAGACAAAGGAGATGGTTGTGGATTTCAGATGGAGCAAACACCACTCCCAACCACCCCACCCCACCCACCCTTGAACAAGGGAGGATTTGCAGTGAAAGTGGTCTCCAGTTAGTACAGATACTTGGGTGTGCACCTAAATGACAACCTCAGCTGGGCCAACAACACAACCAGCCTGATCAAGAAAGCTCATCAGAGACTCTACTTCCTCAGGCAGCTGAGGTGAGCTGGTCTGGGAAGTTCAGTCCCCACCGCCTTCTACAGGTGTGCAGTGGAGAGCATCCTGTGCTCCAGCATCAACGTGTGGCATGGAGGCTGCACAGCTGCAGAAAGAAAAGCTTTGCAGAGAGTGGTGAAGGCTGCACAGAAGTCTGTTGGAGTCAGCCTCCTCACCATCACAAACATCTACACCTCTAGATGCAGGAAGAGGGCCACCTGCATCATGAAGGACCCCACTCACCCAGCACACACACTTTTTGCCCCGCTTCCCTCAGGAAGGAGGTTGAGGAGCATTAAGTGCAGAACCACTAGAGTGAGGAACAGCTCGATCAGGATTTCATTTTTCATCCATCAGGAATCACTGTAAGTCATGCTTTGTGTGTGCATGTGTGAAACAGTTAATTGTGTGTGAATTATCCAAAAAAAAAAAAAAAAAAAAGAAAGACAAAAACGTGTGAATTATTGTCCAGGTACTCTGTTGTGATGCTGCATGGAGGAGCTGCAGGAGGATGATGTCTGCTTCCATTCCCAACCTGCCACAGCTGACCTGTCATCAACTTTAGATCCTGTAACAAAGTCCATGCTCAATAATCCAGGTATACAATCCAAAATTTTTCAGTCAGGTCATCTGGACAGTTGCTATTTTAGTGCTGAAACGTTTCGCCTTTGATCCGGAAGGCTTCATCAGTCAAGGAAACGCACAACAAAACTGATTCTGATCGAAGGCGAAACGTTTCAGCACAAAAAAAAAAAAAGAAACTGTCCAGATGACCTGACTGAAAAATGTTGGATTTAGATCCTGTAGTTGTAAAAAGTTTTGTGAGGAGTTTGTAGAGGTGAGTTGCCACTTTATTTTGACTTTTCTCCTGTATTCCATTAGCATAGTGAAATAAGAGACTTGTAGTTTGTTGAATTTTATTTTTCTTCAGGTAAGAGAAAATACAGTGGTTTGATTTGTTTGTTGTTTGGGCCTGAAGTTGGTAAGACTCCACAGTAATGTCACTATTGTAAATAAAATCACTGTTCTATCATATAATCCTGACTTACTGGCTGCTTGAGTGGTGCAGAAGGTGGAATCGCCCATAATCAATAGCATCCTGGCAGCTGTTATTGCACTGGGTTGTAACATCACACAAACACTCCATCCATCTGTTCCTGGCCCGGACCTTCGCTCCAATTTTAGAACTCAGTGTGGCCCGCGAGTTTGAAAGTTTGCCCACCCCTGTTCTACCCTGAACCTGTTAGACTCATGAATCCCTAACCAGGACAATCACAAAGAAAAAAGCAATCACTGTAATTTTTTTTCATTTAGCCTTTATTTATCCAGGTAGTCTCATTGAGCCACGAGAACTCATTTTCAAGAGAGACCTGTTTAGGGAGCACATGGTGGGGTTAAGGGGCTTTGCTCATGGGCCCAGAGTGGGGCGAATGATGGTGGGGGCAAGTGTGGGTGTTTCACCAACCCCACCCACAATTTTGATGTTGTCGGGGCCGGGGCGTGAACCAGCGATCTTCGGATCACAGGCCCACCTCTCTAACCTCTAATGCCACTTTAATTGGTGATATTATATTTTGCTATTGTTGGGTGTAACTGGGACCCTGTGTACATTATTTCATTCCACTTCATGTCCATACACACGTGATGAAATGACAATAAAATTATTTGAACTTGATATGTGACTTATCTGTGCTGCTGATAATCGATGCTGCTGATCTCCTGCTTGTATTCATCCATACCCATCTGCTCACCACAGACTCATGTTCAGGTTGCTGTTTGATATATCGTGTTGTTTCACATTATTAATGTTTAGTGTATATCTTAGATCTTTTAGCGTACTGTTTGGCGTTTAGCGTATATCTTACATCCTTATATACTGTTTCTTTTTACACTTTATATTTTTGCTGTTCTTGGGTGAAACTGGGACTTAAGAGTACATCATTTCTTTCCACCTCATGTACCACGTGATGCGAATGACAATAAACTTGACTTGAACTTGGATTGACCTACATTACACTGGCTGTAGTTTGTGTACGTAAATATGGAGGAATGAGACAAGCAGTGTGGAAATATGAGTGAATCTGCCATAAAACCAGAAGACATCAAATTTTATTGAAACATTTGAAGAGCTTCATTTTGTAGAGTCTGAACAAATTTATCATTTGTTATTCAGAACTTTCCACACAAACCTGAGTGCAAATACATAAAAACTGACTTCTTGATCCTTATTTGCCCTTTTCGATGTCACCATTGATGATCTATTTTCATTTTGGCTGTTCCCAAAACATATTTTCCCAGTCTTCACAACATTGCAATTTGTACTGGTTTTTATTTCCCCATTTAAAACGGGCATTTTAAAACTTATTACGTTTTTAAATTTTATATATCTCCCAATCTAAACATGTGGAACTGTATGCATGTTGCAAGCTGTTCATCAAGATATTGTTATTCTGCTGTAATTTAGTGGTTAGCGGCTAAACTAAACTGAATGACACTAACGTAATAAATCTAAAATGAGGCAGTAATGTAAACTAAACAGAACTAGTATGGAAGAAAATTGAACGTTTGTGTAAATGTACAATAATGCAAAAGCAGAGTATAGGAACATATTTTATTCCAATTTCAAACATTTAAAGGAGAAGGCTATGTAAAAATCATGTTTGAATGAGATTCAGGCAACAGTGGTTGAAATGAAACATACAAAAAAAAAAAGAGAAATATGGCTAAAATACTGTAAATTAAAAACCAATATGATCTTTCTCTTGAAGGCAAGAACAGAGTAAATCGCCCACCCACTTCCTCCCGATCGGACAAACGCACGCAAATAAATCACATCTTAGAAACAGCAGTTCATCATTAAATCTTAAATATAGAATAGCCATTTTTTTTTTACATTTTATTTGTTAATCACATAATGTTTGTTTTAAAAAGTGAGACGTGGAATTTACCGACCCTCAGATTTTTCACATGGGCACTTGTTAAGAGTCTGGCTTTACAAAGAAAAGGAGTTGGCACACCTCATTGTACAAAATTTACATTTGTATACTTTGAAAAAAAAAAAAAACATTACTTTCAATGTGTACACCACCACACAACCTTGAACTGTTTTTTAAAAGTCTGTTATCAAGTGGTCTTAAATTTACATGTTAAGATTTGTCAAGTTTACAAAAGAAAACTAAACAAGCAGCAAAAATAGCTTTTAATAATCACTGGATGTCCATCCCGCCAACAGGGGCGGGTCTGAAGCTGAAGCAATAGTGTTCACACACATACACACTCCAAAGTACCAACAAATGGACATCTTCGTTGCATTAAAGCAAATCCATTGTAGGGGTGCAGTTTGAAGGCTGCTGGCCCATCAAGTCCACAGTCCAAAACAAAAGAGAGAATGGTGGATGTAAACATGCAGCATCTTTCTTTACTTCAACTGCTGTCAGAGCCACCAAAGCACAACTGCTTCAGTACTTTTACTAATAATAATTAAAATAAACATTAACACTGAGGCTTTGCTTGCAAGTATTTTTGTGAAACCAACTTAATGTTTAAAAAATATCTGTTTTTTAAATCTACCACATAGTGCTGGGTCAAGTCCTTAAGCATTTTTGACGAGTGTCATGCTGAATTTCTTGGTGCAGTTTTTTTGCACTGAATTGCCACATACTACGCTTTTTAATTAATTATATATAAGCAAATGCAATAAAGATCATTGTAAAAAAAAATAAAAATAATCTTGTTTTGACAAGATTTCACTGTTGGTCTCACTTTTAAGTCAAGGTGTAAACTTTACCGACGTTGTGAACGAGTGAAAACTGACGCAACAGCTGGTAGTTCTTTGGAGACAACTCCCTCATGTGACATTTTGTTTGCCATCCTAACAGAAAGCAACTCAAGTTTACAGGACAGTCATTCAATAGTTGCAGAAGGAAACAGAACAGGCCACTCATATGTCCTTAAAGTGATAAGCCACAATTTGGGAGAACAGAATGTTTCATAAAAGCCAAGAAAAAAATAAAGCACAAAAAAAAAAAAAAAAAAAAAAAAAAAGGCGGCATGTCTGCAGTGCAGCACAACACAACAGTATTTTGTGAACAAAGTCTGTCAGTTGATTACCATACGATTACCATACTTGGAAAAAAAAAAAAAAAAAACGTGCATCCACTGAACTTATTTGAAAAGCTTGAAGAATGGTGCAGATTACTAAATATTGGTTGAAGCAACCAATATATATATATATATATTTCATTATAACAAAACATGTTGGGAATGTAAGTTTACAGCCACATAACAAAGTTGGCGCTCTAAAACATATTCAGTGTTGGATCAATTCAAGAAAAAAGTGGCACTTAGCAACAAATATCCGTCCTCCTTCATTAAATGTTTCAGAACGTGGACAGTACATACATGATGGCTTTGTCAACAAGTGCACATAATACACAAATAATATAAAACACCTTCAAATTAAACTGGTCATACAACTTTGTGGAAAACTTGATGCGTAAAGCATTTAACAAAATGTCAAATATGAATGAGAAAGTACCACAGGATGAGTGGAAATCATTTTGGACGTTTAGTAAAACCATCATGAATAAGATGGGAGTCGCAGCTCTCCTCAGTCTGAACCAGTTACACGCTGAAACACCAGAGATGAAAATAAGCATAATGGAAAAATACAACCAAGTCAAAAAGACTTGGACAACCGGATAATACGGTAAAACAGCTGTGGCACGAGACGAGCAACTGCACCTTGGGAAACTCATTTCTGATGTATTTTAAAGGCAAAAAGAAAGTGGACAAAGAAATGGACTGGGACCAGATTTCATCACAGGAACACCCTCAGAATCTGTGGGCTGCCTCCCCAAACCCCCTCCAATCACCTTAAAACACAACGTCAGGTTCAGCTGCCCCGGTTTTAATTGCACAATTTGCTAAAAGCAACCCAGAGTCTTTTCATTTTTACCAAAGCTGCTAGGAGTAGCCCTTGTGATGAAAAAGTTATGAAAACTTACCTGAATTACATTTTGAAGACCAAAAAGAAGAAAGAGCTCTCATTCTATGAAATCTTTTGACTATCAGGCAAGACGCATGATATGATTTTAGTACCGAGAGCAAACGCACATCTTTAAAACATTTCCAAAAATTGGCAAGCATCCTTAAACAGTAAATATTTAACATCCATTTTTTCCCCCCCTCGTTTTCTTTTGCAAAAAGCACAAAACCGACAAGGAAACTGTTCCATTGACAAGCACATCAAAACTGAACCGCAAAAACTAAAATATATGAAGTATCATTAGAAAGAAAGAACAATTGTCCATAAAATAGTTTGATATTTTACAGCAGTATAAAATTTATTTCATCACCAAATTCGGAAGTCTCATTTTACTGAAACAATAACACACAGACCTGACTCAAACAATTTTTAAAAAGACCTATTTGCTTACGGTGTGTTTATTAATCAGATATTAGTTGATGGCATCAAAAGCAGAAAGAAACCCTACTGATCACCACCAACTTGTGACTTGAAACATTAACTTGCTGCCAAAAAAAAAAGCTTTATTTTATCTACATCTGATCAATGTACTGATCTGAAATGATCACATGTGCATGGAAAATAAAAATATCTCAAAGAAAAAAAAATACAGTACTATTACCAACTCAAGTCAGACAACGGTCATACAAAATGCAAACCACATCAAAATGGTTCAAAGGTTTCATGAGACCAGTTCTTAAATCAAATGTCTTAGAATCTGACCCAACTCAGGGGTGGACTGGAAACAACAAAAAAATATTGTCTGAACAGCTCATATTAGTTTTGGCAAGGTTCATCGGTCAAGTGTGAATACTAGTGTTGTGATTTTTGCTTAATAATGCATGTTAACACTTTTTAAAAAAAGAAGAAGAGGAGGCAATTAATGAAGAATACAACGTTGAGTTTTTCTTTGCAGTTCCATGAGTAGTCATCTTCAATTCAGCTTTATCAGACAAACGATAGCGGAAATAATGTAATCAAGAATATCTAAAGTGAGCAGAGAATGTGTAGTCATCTCTAGAGCCCTCACTTTTGTGTGAGCAGCATGAAAACCTTATTTACATTCAATAGAGCTCCTGTGCTCTCGTATGGGTCAGAGTGAGGGAAACACGTCGCATGGCTTGGGTAGATACTTTCAAAATTAGTGAATCTTTGCAGTTGAGACGAGTCCAGGAGTCTGCAGCCTGGCCTCCAAACCTCACGCTGTAGTGTATCGCATGCTGGGGGGGGTTAAGTGCAGGAGAGAGCCCTTTGTATATAAAACTCGTTCTATCCAGAGAAGGCCCTCCACCCACCCTGAACACTCAAGCACAATAACGTAGTGTAGGGCTGAAAATGTGAACCATATTGAGGGGCCAAAAGAAGCCAACAAATGATCCAAAAAGAGGACAAATGAGTGTTAAATGTCAGTGTGTTTTGTGTGTTACTGTGCAGTAGCAGCAGTTAGTAAAAAGAACAAAACAGACTCTTTAAAATGTCAGCAAACCAAAAATCTGAGTATGGGGGGAGAAGCAGAATAAGGATAACGTTGGTCTGGTAAAGACTGTAGCAACGCCCGTCTCATTGAGCAGCTGTGTGTTCCATGCATATGTCTCTGGAAGTTAACTCTGCAAGGTTTCCGTCTGTGTTTGTGGGGGGAAGTTGGTGGCGTCTTGCTGGCTTTCCTTCAAACAAGATTGTATTCTTTGAGGTTGAGCTGCAGGATGGTGTCTTTGACGGCTGCGAAGACGAAGCGGATGTTCTCCGTGTCAGTGGCACACGTGAAATGCGAGTAGATGATCTTCTCGCTGTCTGGATTCAAGTCCACAAACATCTTAAGGATGAACTCTCGACCTGCCTGAGCATCTCGCTGTGGACCTGAAAAGAATCAGATCAGTTTGTTTAACTTGTATTGATTCAATCTCAGCTTTTCAAAAGACGGGATAAAATGGACACAGTGGCTGTTTATTGATTTACTGCAGCGATTGTGTGAAACTCTATGAAATAAAGAGAATAAAGCTACTTTAGAATGAGGCACAGCAGTATCTAAATGACAAAAAAATAATTCATTTGTATTGTAATACAGCGGCTTAACCACAAGGTGTCTCTCCAAAATAAAATCGCTAAAAAATAAAAATAAAAACAAACAGATGCCATCTTAAAGCTAATTTTTTTTTTTTTTTTAACAGCTAAATATGCAAAAGTAGAATAAAAACAATCGCATTACCATCAAACTCTGGAAAGTAGTCTACCAGGTGAGAGTACATGATCTTCTCCTCCAACAGGTCCTTCTTGTTGAGGAACAGGATGACGGATGAGTTTTGGAACCAGGGATATGTGATGATAGTCCTGAACAGAGCTTTACTCTCCTCCATACGATTCTAGAACAGAGGAATGAAGGAAAATGGTAAATGGACTGTACTTATATAGTGCCTTTCTATCTGATCAAGATACTCAAAGTGCTTTACACTACAATCTGTGTCCTCATTTACCCATTCATACAGCACTCTACTAGATCTCTACAAAGCTAATTGAACAAATCATTCTAAAGAGACTAATCAGAGCTTTATCACATTCAAACACCAATGGGACACACATCGGAGGCTATGAGGGGTTCAGTATCTTGCCCATGGACACTTCGGCATGTGACTGCTGGTGGATTCGAACCCCCAACTCTCGCATTGGAGGACGACTGCTCTAACCACTCAGCCACAGTCGCCCCCGAAAGAAAACAGAAACAAGTTAGGCTGACAGATTCAGAAATTAAAAAACAACTTGTATCATTTATGTACAAAAGCATATTACCTGGGATACATCCACAAAAGTAAGTTTTCTTGTTGCCAAGTAATATTTAAACATTAAAATGCTAATCGTTACTGAAATCAAAAACCTATTAAGCCTTACAGCTGTAATCAAATGTCATCTTCTGTTCTTGTCAGCATCAATCAAAGATGAGTCTTGACGAGTCATTAATCACCCGCCAGAAAAAGTGTCAATCTATAGTTACGGTCTAATTTATCTCTGAATGGTCTACCTATTCAGAGTTTCAATCTGTGGTTGTGGATGAAAGGATGAAGTTGTACTAATGGACTGCTGATGTAATGAACCAAGTTAGCAACTGTGTCTGGTTTGTGAAACCCGATCATCATATGACCTGGTCAAACATTTGTTGTCAGGGGAAGGAGAGGGCATGCAGAGTCTGATCACATTAGCTTTATTAGAAAAAAGTATCTGAACAGTCTGATGAGCCAAAGCTAATTACACAAATAATTAGTATCAGGTAAGCAGCCGAAACTCTGAGTTTTAAAAGGAAATCAGAAATAATTATTGAGCACATGGTGATTGTATAAAGATTTTGTGCCTTTCTGACAACTATTACTATTCACATGGGATTAGTTTTACCTAAGGACCACATGTGATAAATAAATTACACCCCAACGTCTGCCTTTTATGCGGCACATTCGCATGGGAAAACCAAAGCCTGAGATTTAGCTGAAATTTACGGACATCTTCTGGATATGATGTTAATGCGCTGCGTTGTCACGACCGGGCCGGTCCACAATAATGTGCTTAATGTGCAGATTGGGCCGGTGTCAGGCTTTGATGTGGTTTTACACATCTGCACAAAATTTAAAAAAAAATGCACAATATAAAATTGTGTTAAGTCTACTTGTTGAGGAGGAGGCAGGTCCAACCGGCCGGTTTAAGAGGTAAAAAAAAAAAAAAAGCCACGTTAAGCGCAGATGGACAACCCGTCACTGGCTGCGTGCATGAGCAGCCGCGCGGCCGATGACCCGCCAGTTGAACTGGACTTGCGACCTGTCCAGGTTGTCCCCTGCCTCTCGCACAATGATGGTTGGACATAGGCACCAGAGACCCCCGCTACCCGAAAAGGAAGAAGCGGTTAAATATAATGGATGGATGGGCATCTGATCACATGCATGTTTCTGCACCTGCTGTCATTTGCAGTGAAGGAAGTAGCAGCATCTACAAAAGCCAAAGCGAGTAGCGATGATGACCAATGTGGAAATCGGCAGAAAGAGATGAAAAATATTTTGAATCTCAGTTTATTCTTTACGTCTTCCAACATCAAGCTCAGACAAAAATGAATGACTTATTCTATATTTTTCAAAACGAACGACTTTGCTTAAACCAAAACAAAAAATGCCTCATTACGTATCGGATCCCACCCATTTATGTCCAAATCACAGAGATGCCTATTCGCATTGGATTAGTATTATCACAGGACCTCGGAGTTCAGCAAAATATAGTAGGTAATTTGCAGGGGAATTTTTACTTTACAAATTACTGACATGGCCGATTTGCATGGGATTAACAACACAGACAATCTCCGTAATTATTACAAATAGCATGTCGTCCCTAGGTAAAACTAATCCAGTGCGAATAAGGCTTATGACTGTGTTTATAACTGTACATTTGCACCATTTGTGCATAACTTATCGTGCTCACCAGTTAGACTGACAGCCTCTTTCTAGGGAAGAGACTGAAAGAGTTATTCCTGATTCCGACAGCCCTGTTTCTAATTGTGTCTCTGTGTGGTAAATATCCCCAATTTATAACAAAACTGCTGCCAATCATCTTGTATATCAGAGCATATCCACCTACAGCAGAGTGTTTGTGTTTGCAGATGCTCCTTACTGCACATCTTGAACAAAATGTGGGACCTGTTGTACCTAAACTAGCCTGCCCAAGTCTTCTAAAAAAGCTACTGTTGGGCTATTCATTTTATGCTACTGGTGCTTATGTTTAAAGGTTGTTATTGATGTGCAACTTCCATTTCTATCTTCTTTCCCGTCAGGACAGTCCCGTCGCAGCGATTTCCTACCTTCACAATAACAGGTGGCAGGCGGCGATTTCGTTGCATATTCAAGTGTCTGGTACCACCTACTCTGACGAGTGCTTTTTACTTTGAAGTCAATCAACACGCCGGTGTGTGATAGTCACATGACCAATTTCAGTCGCTCTAATGGGAAATACATAGCCTCTCAGAGAGTCTATTTTAGTTTGTCCAAAGTACAGACTTCAAACCGCACATCAGTTTTTAAACTGTGTTGATAAGCCAAGTAAAATCAGAGTTACAGTGAGGAAAATAAGTATTTGAACACCCTGCGACTTTGCAAGTTCTTCCACTTAGAAATCATGGATGGGTCTGAAAGTTTCACCTTAGGTGCATGTCCACTGTGAGAGATATAATAATCTAAAAAATACAAAAAAAATCCAGAAATCACAACGTATGATTTTTTAATAATTTATTTGTGTGTTACTGCTGCAAATATTTGAACACCTGTGAAAATCAATGTTAATATTTGGTACAGTAGCCTTTGTTTGCAATTACAGAGGTCAAACGTTTCCTGTAGTTTTTCCACCAGGTTTGCACACACTGCAGAGATTTTGGACCATTCCTCCACACAGATCTTCTCTAGATCAGCCAGGTTTCTTGGCTGTCGCTGAGAAACGCGGAGTTTGAGCTCCATCCAAAGATTTTCTATAGGATTTAGGTCTGGAGACTGGCTAGGCCACTCCAGAACCTTGATATGCTTCTTACGGAGCCACTCCTTGGTTCTCCTGGCTGTGTGCTTCGGGTCATTGTCATGTTGGAAGATCCAGCCACGACCCATCTTCAATGCTCTTAACTGAGGAAAGGAGGTTGTTCCCCAAAATCTTGCAAATCATGGCCCCGGTCATCCTTTTCTTAATACAGTGCAGTCGTCCTGTCCCATGTGCAGAAAAACACCCCCAAAGCATGATGCTTCCACCCCCATACTTCACAGTAGGGATGGTGATTTTGGGATGGTACTCATCATTCTTCGTCCTCCAAACACAGCGAGTGGAATTAAGACCAAAAAGTTCTATTTTGGTCTCATCTGACCAAATAACTTTCTCCCATGACTCCTCTGGATCATCCAAATGGTCATGGGCAAACTTCAGACGGGCCTGGACGTGTGCCGATTTAAGCAGGGGAACCTTCCGTGCTATGCATGATTTCAAACTATGACGTCAGTGTATTACCCACAGTAACCTTGGAAACAGTGGTGCCAGCTCTCTTCAGGTCACTGACCAGCTCCTCCCGTGTAGTTCTGGGCTGATTCCTCACCTTTCTTAAGATCACTGATACGCTACGATGTGAGATCTTGCATGAAGCCCCAGTCCGAGGGAGATTGAGAGTCATGTTTAGCTTTTTCCATTTTCTAATAATTGCTCCAACAGTTGATCTTTTTTCACCAAGCTGTTTGGCAATTGCCCCGTAGCCCTTTCCAGCCTTGTGGAGGTCTACAATTTTGTCTCTGGTGTCTTTGGACAGCTCTTTGGTCTTAGCCATGTTAGTAGTTGGAGTCTTACTGATTGTGTGGGGTGGACAGGTGTCTTTATGCAGCTAACAACCTCAAACAGGTGCTTCTAATTTAGAATAATAAGTGGAGTGGAGGTGGACATTATAGAGGAGGACTAACAGGTCTTTGAGGGCCAGAGATGTTGCTGATTGGCAGGTGTTCAAATACTTATTTGCAGCAGTAACACACAAATAAATTAATAAACAAATCATATATTGTGATTTCCGGATTTATTTATTTTTTAGATTATGTCTCTCACAGTGGACATGCACCTAAGATGAAAATGTCAGGCCCCTCCATGATGTCTAAGTGGGAGAACTTGCAAAGTCGCAGGGTGTTCAAATACTTAATTTTCCTCACTGTATGATAAATAATCCATGCCACATCTTTTTCTGAAAACATTGTCATATCTGTAGCGCGTTAGAGCGAGAGGCTGTGGCAAAGATGGGCAGTCTCAGGGACAAAACACCCCCATCACCCTCCACTTTCACCTCCCACCCCCGCCAAACAAACAACCTCCCCCCCTCCTTCCTGACATAGGCTTAAAGTTGTTGTTGTTGTTTTGTTTGTTTTTTTTAGGCTTGAAGTTGTTTGTCAGGCAACAACAAATCTACAGGAAGAAGAAAAAAAGGCGGAAGCTGCATGGAGTTCGGTGTCATAAAGTCACAGCGAGAGTGGGAGTGAGTCATGAGGTTTGAGAGATTTATCATGTTTGGATTTTATAGTAAGGGTGTAGCTAACTACAATAAAACTAGTCAGTTTTAGTGTGTTTGACTGAAAACAATTAGATGATTTTTGAATGTGAGGAAGATGGAGCTGTGGACACAGAGGACAACGGAACTGCGGAGTCAGAACCTCATAGACAGAGGAGAGGACCATGATGGAGAAAAACTGTCTGAGTCACACAATGAGGATTTTGTTGATGAAGAGTGTGATCATGATTTGTTTTAGAAGAGGAAAGGGAAGAAGGGTGGACCGAGCATCACTAAGAGGTCTGACTCTGCAGAGGAGGGGGTCCAGAACCCCTATGACTGGACCAACAGAACCAGGCATCAGTTCTGAGCTTTAGAGAACAGAGGATGTAGATATTGACCCAGAGGGCATATTAATGGAGTAATTACCTTGTTTTAAATGACCAAAAATAAATATTTTTGTATATAAAAAAAACTGTAGTGTGGAACTTTTAAACGAAAAATACCAAAGCGTTAAAATAAATAAATATTTTTTATTTAAGGCTGAAACAGCTCTAAAAGACTGACTAGCTTTTGGTAGAAAAATATTCAAAACTGTATTTTTAAGCAGTTAAATAATGTGGTTGATTTCCTCCCTGAGGAACATGAATAGTCAAAGTTAAAGGGTTAAAACGGTCTTATTCAAATGTTCACAATATGATGATGTCGATCAGATTTCAGGATCTTGTCTGTAGTTACAGAAAGCAAAGTCAAGTTTTTGAGCTGTGTGCATTTAGCTGGGCCTGCTGCAAGATGAACAATATGTTAATGCAATATGTAATGTTATCATGCTCTACAAAATTGATTGACAGCTGCTGCTGATTATGACTTCATACGTATTTTAATGTCTGTGATGCTGGCAAGACATTTTTATCAGTGATCAGTGTTTTAAACAGTCTGCGTGCACAAACATGGAACATCTATTTGTTTATTTTGGGAAATGACTCCAGCCTCTTACTCAAAAAGTTATTGAGAAGGCTGTGTATCATCAGTTAATTTTACATCCTGTGAGCTTGTGTTTGTAGACAGAGGCATCTCCTGACAGTCTTATTTTCTGGTGTTCTGAAAAGTCCATGACTCTGTGTTTGTGGGGTAATTTAGTGTAAAAATTAAGCTGAAATCCAAATCAGTGTGATACAGAACAGTCCAATGGAGCACCTGTAGTCTAAATCACTATCTGTGATGAGGCTTAAAACAAATTAGCTACTGTAATTAGCAGTTAGGGCTGCCTGAAGTCTACTGGTGTCGTTGTTTAGACATGCAGGTTTAAGTTCAATTCAATTCAGTTTATTTACATAGCACCAAGTCACAACAGAAATCATCTCAGGGCACTGAACAGAAACGTTCATATTTAAAAATAATAATTTAACATTATTTATCTGAGGAGCAGGCTGCTTTGAATTTAACTCAAATGTAGAACTCTCATCTTGAGTGAGTATGAAGGCGACAGTGGAAAACAAAAACTCCCTCAGGAGGAAGAAATCTTTAGCAGAACCAGGCTCAGGACAAGCGGCCATCTGTTTCGACCGGCTGGGTTTGAGAGGAACAGGAAACAATGACATGACATGTTCAGTTGCTAGGGGATGTAGTGAGTCTGTTTCTGTTCCTTTAAAGACATTTTCACACGTCTGCCAGCCCGGAAAGTTCTACAAATTCTAGAAAATTTTAACATTGAAATTTTCACTACAATAATTTCAGCCTTCTTGAGACGTTTTTAACTTTGCTCTTTTGTAAAGCGTCCAGAAATATCAACAGATAAGAAAATGTGCCAACACAGCAGCAGATCTGCCAGACCATTTCCTGCCAGGGAGCTTGAGTAAGAACTGGCAACATTTGTGGCTTCGTGTTCTTTTTTCTGTGGACCTGTACAGTGCTTTCCACTCACTTCCTGATATTATAGATTTGTTCAAATATATTTGAGACTGATGTCAACACAATAAGAAGCCTTCAACATTTTAAAAGTGTTGATAAAAAGAAGACGATTTACTTCCAGCACTGTGTGCAACCAGTGAAGTCAACACCACCTCCCTAACATTTCCAGGACATCTTACAACAGTGTAAAATTACACAGCAAAGACGCGCATTAAACACTTTTAATTAATAGTTATAATACAGCTAACCTTAAGACCTCATTGAGACGAAACAGAATCAAATATCTGATGTTAAAACTTTAGAAATTGCAGCTAGTCAAGTGTCTCACCTCATTGTCGGACTCCACCAGAACTTGGTCATATTCGCTGAGTGCCACCAGAAACATGATGGAAGTGACGTTCTCAAAGCAGTGGATCCACTTCCTCCGCTCTGACCTCTGACCCCCAACATCCACCATCCTGATTGAAACAGGATGGAGTAAACCGGGGTCAGAAAGGATCACAGAAAAAAAAAAAAATAAATCACAACTTCCTCTATAGTGTAATTGGCTTTTTAAATTTAAGATAGTCTTGTTTCTATCACAATCAATTTATTTTAGCTGCTCTGTAATTTAGACGACAATCAAACTATAGAAAGTGAGGACATACACCCCGGATCAAACAATTTAGCTTAATATTGTTCATTACGGCTTATGAAGATTTTAAGTTTTATAAGACAGCCACCATTGTAAAAATTTAGCAAACGATTTGAGTCAAATAGGGACAAAACACATTTTATTTTATCTTATTAAAATGTGTAGCCTGTTAATACATTTACAAAAGAAAAACACAAGACTGTCACAAAATACTACCTTAAACAAATGGTATCAAATGAATCTTATAAAATTCTAAACAAAAACTCATTTTACATTGGGAGTACAAACAGAGGAAACGGGGCGCGAGAATTCAGTGTAGATTACAGTGTGGACAGAGCAAACCTTGGCTCGGGTGAAGCTAAACCACTACCAGTAAGCGTTAATGTGCACACAAGCACCACACAAGCACCTCCCAAACATGAACAACAGCTCATGCAGTAGATATGAAGTGTAACAAAAAAAAGGCTTTTCTTCAGAAATTCTCAAATGGTGTTACTGAAAATGCAAGATAAATCAAAGAAGCAACAAAGAAGCAGGAGGAGGAGAGGAAAAACAAAACTGAGACTTACGAAAAAATTAAACAAAAAGTGTGGGGAGAAGAAAAACACAGAAGACAACGCAGTTTCTGATTAGGAGGAAAAATTGCTTGAGTATTTTTATTGACTGCATTTTTTCCCCAAAACAGTTTTTAGTCTTTGATTTGAATGAAAGCAGGGAAAAAAAGCAATAAATTAAACCATTTTTATAAAATATCAATATGGAGAAAGAATGTGGAAGAAGGAGCAAATAAAAAGAAGGTGGTTTTTTTTTTGGTCTTTGTCAATTTTTAAGTTAGCAAAAATTTACAAATTAACTTTTCATCAATTATACAAGTATGTGTTCAGTAATTAAACCTAGAGCAATCAATATGGTTTGACAACTGCGCCACAAAACTGATGAACTCTAAGTGAACTTCTGCCAGAAAAACGAACGGCATTGATAAACCCAGATTAAAAAAAGAGCCTGAAATGAAAACTCCTTCACATCAGACCTTTTCCTTTCCTACCTCCAGCAACAATCAGTGACCTACTTTGGTCCAGAAGTTGTCCTATGTTGGCCAAACCAAATGAAATTGCATTTTCTTTGACCCCTGAAGCTCATTAAACGAGAAAGAAAAATAAAAAAATAAAAATGAAAAGGAAAGGTTTAACTATGAAAGGCTTCCTTGTTGAAACAATCTTAGCCAGATGCTAGAACAGACAGTTTCACATAGAGCGTTTCTGGAGGAATACCTCATTATGCATCAAGTCTGCTGTATTAATGTGATAACACATTTTCATTCATCACTAAACAGAGAGCTCAATTATGTTCTGTCAAGATACACCTCACTTTGGTTGCCAACTAATATTAATTCTTTTAACCTCGCTGCACAAAACCGACGTCTGCAACTATCCACAGATTCACGTTCAGGAGTACAGTCGAGTAGAGTTCAGCCTATGTGCAAGCTGCAGTGTTGCCAGGAACCTCTTCAAACACAGTTGTATTGCAGGCCGAGTTATTTCTAGCCTTGCTAAGCGTAGGAGGGAGATGACATGATGGTTTCCTATCGATTTGCACTTTTCTACTATCACTCTTCACTGGTCCATCTCCATCTAATCTTTTGTTTTCAAGGGAGACAGGGAAGCTGCTGAACGTATTTTGGGCTGGGCCAAAGACAGTTTCTATGTCATGCTGTCTACTCTATGGCTCGGTGTTACAAAAAGCAAGAAGAATAATGGTGCAAATATAATTTTGAATAAAAATCTGTCACAGAACATTTATTGAGCTACACTTTTCCCTTTAGACTTGTATTTAGTAAAATAAATTGACAGCAGCTGGGTAATAAAAGGTATATCAATGATTCAGTGTAAAGAGACTGTTCTGTAGCCAAGTAATATTCAAGTGGTTTGCATGCACAACACACAAGTGTAACGTTTGGCTCTGTGTCAGCTAAACCTGCTGACTTTTCTCAAATTTTCTGCCCTCACATGTATTAGTAGAAAAAAAACCAACTTTAAATACTGCCCTTAGAGACTAATTATTTTAAAGTTGCTTTTGAAATTATTACAGCCAAAAGACAAACTATTTGGTTATACAAGTCATAAAGCACCAACATTGAAAGAAGTCATAACTAGAAACTATTTGATACAATTTTCCAACAAAACAGTTTAAAAATACAATCATTACAAATCAATAATGAATTCTACAGATATTTTTAATCATCTAAAAAAAAAAATTACAAAAACAAAAACTTACATTTGCTGGTCACCATTTGATTATGTTCATGTAATCAAACATAAGGTAGTTTTAATTCTATAGATGCCACGAGAGGGAATTTTACGTCAGATTGTGCCGTTTCTAAAACCAAAACTAAATGTATTTTTGGAAACTGTTCATGTATTATAGCAGATGGTGATTACCGTTTTAAGGTTGCAATAGTTTAAGACTGAGCATCTACAGTGAGTAATAAACTCAAGTGAGACAAGTCAAGATAGCATAAGTTGTGTAACATGCAGCATAGAAAACCAAAAGCTCTACGTACAGTAAATGGTGCATTTCTGACATAACGGACTGAACCCTCTTGCCGTCTCCTTAAGTCTGTTTTAAAGTGAGGCCTCAGGAATCATTTTGATCCAAGGGCAACAGAAGGGTTAGGTGAATTAATTTGGCTGAAGTGTAAACCGATACTTAATATACGGTCATATTTTTGGCAATGTTGAAGCTTTAGCTTTGAGATAAAGATGTTGATTTGGTGAACATTATACCTATAACTGAAACATTAATCACCTAAGAAAACAATTTCAGGTTATTATATTATGTACTGACTGAATAATCTAAATTTCAGTAATGCACTTTGATAATTTACCAGTTTAAGGGGTTTTAATTAGGCAATTTGTTTATGTGCAGAATGAGAGCATCAGGCATGTTAAGTGAGGTAACAGATTTAAGGGGAATATAGTAAAACTTGGAGATAAACACAATAAAGTAGGTCGTCTTCTACCTGAAAATGATGCTTTGCAAGTCGAAAGGGTATTCTATAATCCCAGTGGTTGGGATTCGAACCCTAAGCACATCCTGTTGGGTTGGTAGATAGGACGTTTCAGCAATACGATCCAGATCACTTAAATAGCTAGAGAAGAAAAAAAAAATGGGGGGGAGAGGCAGGAAATAGAAAGTGAAGCATGACAGCAGAGAAAGAACAATCCCTCCCAAATGCAAGTGCATTAGTAGTTCAGATGCAACCACAGAAGACCATTCCCAAGAGTTACAGGAGGTTTACATTCCACTTCCTCCTTTAACGTTCTCAGAAACACAGCTCTTTCCTTGATGGCAGCTCACAAAGACAAAAAAATCTGCACTTTGAATAGCTAGGTCCAACAAAGTACTAAATGTTTGTGATTTTTAGAAGAGTATTGCCATCTGTCTGTTGCCAATTCCAACATAAAGTTCAGGGTCTGTTCTTGATGTCAAGTCTTTGAGAGCATACCATCAGGAACCTGTTAAAAGTGCTGAGCCTGCCCTGCAGCACAGTGTAGATGAAGATAACAGCACTGACGGGTTCCTGCTGGCTAACCAACCATTGACATCAGCAGCAGCACTTAGAAGTACCTGAAGAGAACATTCTCCAGGTCAAATGGGTACTCAATGATGCCGGTGGTAGGCACTCGAACACGCAGGATGTCTTGCTGACTGGGCACGTACTTTGACGTTCCTATTCGTTCTAAACTGTTAAGATAACTGCGAGGAGGGAGGGAACATACTTAGACTTACAGACTTAGATACACATGCACACACTAACTCATCTCAACATTAAAATGAGAACACAAAGAGATAAGCCATTGTGTATTTTCAAAGCAGTTTCGATAGAGTTGTTTAAATAATATGGATTCAAAATTGAAATGCATTAAAAATATCTATGCATAAGATCAGATTGATTTTCAAAGCTAGACTTTTTAAAATAGCCACGTTACTTTAAACTACTTCTTCTAGATGAGTGCAACGCTGCTCTGGCATAAAAATATAGTTGGAACTGCTGACTCTTCTTAACAAATCCTACCCATCATTAACTCAATTCAGTTCAGTTTATTTACATAACGCCAAGTCACAAGAGAAGTCATCTCAGGGCACTGAACAGAAACATTCTTATACATAAAAAGTAAGTTAACACTATTCAATACAATTCATCATGCAACAGTGACAGATCATAGACCTACTATTTGGTTGAGTCAGAAAGCTGGTACTCTCTCCTGCGATCGTACGCCTCCTGAATGCCAGGGTCAGCCCAAAGCATCTTTATTGCGGTAATGAATGGCTCATCAAACGTTGTCACCTTTTCCACGTCCACTTCCCGCACCATTTCAGCATTAGACTGACAGAAAAATAAAAAAAACAAGGACTATTTTTTGTTGTTGTTGTACATCATGTTGGCGTAACAAAAAAAAATAAAAAATACTGATCAAATTTGATAGATTCTTTAAGTTCATTATTAATGAATGGATACATTAATGTCCGAACCAAGAATTCACAGAGATTATTGAACTAAAATTTTGGAACCACATTTAAATAAAATCTGTCCTGTGGTTGGATTGCACTTGGCTAAATATGTGTGGGAACTGCCTTAATGCACATTGAAAGCATTTTCACTCAAACCACCTTCAGAGGTGGTCAGGACTGCTTTATCCGCCTGTATTTGATAGTCTGAGCGCAATCTGTCCTGAGCCAAGCTGTAGGACCACCTAATAAACTAACAAGACCCCACATAAGCAGAGGGGAAAACACCTGGATGGCTCAGTGTGAAAAACAGTCCAGTCCACTGCTAGCTGATTAAAGATAATTAAATAATCATAATTCAATTCAATTCAGTTTATTTATATAGCGCCAAACCACAACAGAATTCATCTCAGGGCACTGAACCGAAACATTTTTATATAAAAATAATAATTTAACATTATTTATGTGAGGAGCAGACTACTTTGAATTTAATTCCATCACAGAACTCTCATCTTGAGCAAGCATGAAGGCGACAGCGGAAAGGAAAACCTCCCTCATGAGGAAGAAACCTTTAGCAGAACCAGGCTCAGGAGAAGTGGCCATCTGCTTCGACCAGCTGGGTTTGAGAGGAACAGGAAACTATGACAGATACACAATGGCACGTCAAGAATCAAATGTTAAGATAGAAATAATATCAAATGAAAACTATTCAATTTTAACAATTCATTTTAAGAAATGAGGTCATTTTGTCCTCTAGTAGTCTAAGCTTAAGGCAGCATAACAAGCCAACCCTAACTATAGGATTTATCAAAAAGGGAAGTCTTACGCCCAGTCTTAAAACTGGACAATGTGTCAGCCCTATGGACAGAAACTGGAAGTTGATTCCACAAGAGAGGAGGAGCCTGATAACTGAAAGATCTTCCTCCCATTCTGCTTTTGGAAACTCTAGGAACCACAAGTAAGCCTGCAGTCTGAGAGCAAAGTGCTCTGTTGGAAAAATATGAAACAATAAGATCTTTAATATATGATGGAGCTAGGATGTTGAGAGCTTTGTAGGCTAGAAGTAAGATTTTGAATTCAATACTGGACTTGACAGGGAGCCATTGGAGAGAAGCTAAAACTGGAGAGATATGATCTCCTACTAACTCCAGTTAAGACTCTGGCAGCAGCATTTTGGATCAACTGAAGACATTTTAGATAAGTATTTGGACACCCAGATAAACCATTGCATTAGTTCAGTCTAGACGTGACAAATGCATGAACCAGTTTTTCTGCATTAGTTTAAAGATGTTTCTAATTTTAGCGATATTACGCAGGCGGAAGTAGTAACTGGAAATATTCTAAACTCGTGGCTATTGTTTTTTGTTATTTTGGCTAAATGTTTTAATGAATGGTTGATCAGAGGCTGATAAAATTGTATTGATGGGTCAAGCAGAGCCAGAGTTATGATAAATAATCCATGTCACATCTTCTTCTGAAAACACCGTCATATCTGAAACGCATTAAGAGCGAGAGGCTGCGGCAAAGATGGGCAGTCTCGGGGACAAAACACCCCCATCAGCCTCCTCCTTCACATCCCACCCTTGCCGAACAGATAATTACAACGTTCCCCCTCTTTTCTGATGGAGGCTCAAAGTTATTTGTCAAGCGACAACAAATCTACAGGAATAAGAACAAAAAGATGTAGAAGTTGAATGGAGTTTGGCGCAATTAAGACAGCAAGAGCAGGATGAGCCATGAGGTTTGAGAGATTTGTGATATTTAGCATGTTTGGGTTTCATAGTTAGAGCATATAGTGTGTTAAGTTTAGTCAGTTTTAATATGTTTGAGTCAAAATAATGAGGTGATTTTTGAACGGGAGAAGAGTGGAGCTGTGGACCCAGAAGAGGACAGAACCATGGAGTCAGAACCTCACAGACAGAGGAAAGGATCATGGTGGAGAAAAACAGTTTGACAATGAGGACTTTGTTGACGAAGAGGGTGATCATGATTTAGAAGAGGAAAGAGAGGAAAAGCAAACCGAGCCCTACTAGGAGGTCTGACTGTGCAGAGGAGAGGGTCCAGAACCCCGAACTGAGTCGAGTCGTGCTGAAGAGGAGCTATGAAAAAGGCCCATAACTGGGCCAACAGAACCAGGCATCAATTCTAAGCTCTGGAGAGCAGAGGAGGATGTTGATCCAGAGGGCGTATTACTGGTACTGTAATATAAATGTTTTTTTTTTTTTTTTTTTCAAATTGACAAAACTAGTGTGGAGTTTTTAAACCAAAAACCTTTAAAGCCTTAAAAGAAAAAAATAATTTAAATTACATATTTTTATTTCAGGCTAGACAGCTCTAAAAGACTGACTAGATTATTGTGGAAAAAATATTTTAAAATAATATTTTAAGCAGTTAAATATGGTGCTTGATTTCCCCCATGAATAAAGACCGTATCATCATATCATATACAGATACAGAGATTCTTTATCGTCATTCACACAGCATGTGGTACATGTGGTGGAACGAAATTATGTACACAGGGTCCCAGTTACATCCAACAATAAAATGTAAAAGATAAACAGTAATAAGATGTAAGATATAAACTACGACTATGAACTAAGAAAATCGTCAGCTAAAAATATGCTAAGTACTAATAGCATAAAAATAATAAACACAATACGCCGAACAGCAGCACGAACATGAGTCGGTGTGAGCAGTCTGTGTACATGCTATATATAGAAAGTTAAAGGGTTAAAACTGTCATTCACATGTACACAATATGATGTTGTTTATGTCGATCAGCTTTCACGATCTTGTCTGTAGTTACAGAAAACAGAGTGAAGGTTTTTTTTAGCTGCATGCATTCAGCTGGGAATGCTGCAAGATAAAGATAAATTCATTGTGAAATAATTCTTTATTAGTTCCCTGAAAATACGCGTTCTCTCGCTCTACAAAATTGACTGACAGCTGCTGCCAAGACTTAACTTTTTTCATGCTTGTGATGCTGGTTAGACATTTTCAACAGTGATCAGTGTTTAAACAGTCTGCATTCACCAACATTCTTGCTGCACAGAAAATCTAAATGTTGATGCTGCTGTTGGAAAATTACTACAGCGTCCTACTCAAAAAGTTATTGAGAAGGCTGGCTGTACAGTGCCAGGCATTCATAGGTCCATAAACAAGAGCTTCACATCTTTTTTAAAGCCTTGTTATTTTTCTATTAACTCCCTACCGAATATGCATCTTTTAAGAAAAGGTATACATTTTATTTATTACTTCAAACACTCACCCTGTTCTGTCCATACTTGAAGGGGATTGCGAGCGTCTCAGTTGCACGGATCATGGACTGCATGGAGGTGAAGATGTTCTGATAGACCAGTTTGGTGAAGCCCTTTTTATCCTCCTCCGTATAGCCAGTCCCATGAATTATTCTCATCTGCTTAATAAAAGTGCTTTTGCCACTTTCTCCAGTACCTAAAACAGACAAGACACCGACAGATTAGCCAACCACCATAAAAAGGTGTTAAACAGTTACATGACACACTCTTTACTGTGCTTACAGGACCCTGGAACAATAAAGTGATATTAGTATGGAGTCATGCAGCCAGAAACAACAAACAATAGGAGATTGAGATCTAAATACACTGTACACAAAAAATGAGATTAAAATTTATGTGATGTGAAACATATTTAAATTAAACAAAAAAGAGAATGTGAACATCTGAAAATTTGTCCAAAACCACAATAAAAAAACGTGTAAAAATATCAATAGAACGAAGTTCATCCACCCATTATATTTACTCGCTTCTTCCTTTTCGGGTTGCGGGGGTGACTGGTGCCCATATCCAGCAGTCACTGTGCGAGAGGTGGGGGACACCCTGGACAGGTCTTCAGTCCATCACAGGGACACACAGAGACAAACGAGACAAACAACCATTTATTCACTTTCTCAATCACACCTAGAGACAATTTAGAGTTATCAATCAGTCTAATACGCATGATTTTGGTCTGTGGGAGGAAACTGGAGTACCCAGAGAAAACCCACGCATGCACGGAGAGAACAAGCCATCTTCATCGAGAAAGGTCCCTGGCTGGTATTCGATCCAGCGACCTTCTCGCTGAGAGACAACCGCTCTACAAACTGATCCACCATGCCATCTAACAAAGTTATCAAAAGTATTTCTGTCAAACCAAGCAGAACAATCAATGCAGCGTTTCCCTTACCATTATACAAGCAGGGCGCCTTGTTCTGTCAACAGAACTAAGCACCATGCCTACCGAACCTGAATGACATAGCGCTAAGCTAGTGCTAAACTAGCAGCGCGCAATACAGATGTGCTAGGGCTGGGCGATATCTCGATATTTTTAAAATTTTGAAAGATATTCCTACGTTGAGCAATTATTAGACTTGAAAATCTGTGCAGTTCATTTTCTCCTGTCTGCACTGCCAACTGCACGTGGTCCCTCCTTCTCCCTCACTGAATACAAACACAGCCCCTCATGTGCTGCTTCACACATGCTTACTAACGTCAGGAAGGCGGCGCAGCTGAAGAGGATAATTATTTAATATGTATATGTAAATAAAAGTCTAAAAAATAAATTATTTAATACATGTAAATAGCTATTTTTAGACATTTATTTTGTACAGTTACAGCTGTTTAATACATGTGTCTGTGTGACATTTGGGACAAGGCTTTGACTCAGAAATATATTTTTGTTACTACTTTATGGAAAGAAAAAATATTGAGATATAGATGCATCGTACATCGCCACTCGTCTTAAAATATTGAGATATTAATTTTGGTCCATATCACCTAGCCCTAAGACGCGCTAGCTAAAAAGCTACAGTTAGCGCCCCGTTTCCTTTACGCTGAGCAATTTTCAAACAACCCCCACACTTGAAAACAGTTGGTACAAACAGTGCACAACACAGATGTGCATCCGTCATCCCCACCCACCCCCGTCAACAAAAATCACGGACCATATGTGCACCCTGCCAAGGCAACTAATTTAGGGGAAACACCTTAATGTCCTTTATATTCTTATGCCTTTTATGCATTGTAAAGCCTGGTCCAGCCTGGACTAGCCATAGTCCGCCCAACACTGATCTGCCCCAGCTCTATTGTTTGATGAGGCACTGGTGCTATCTTTTGCGTTGCCATTTTTTAAATAAAGAAAACTAGGAGCTCTCTCCATCACACAACCAGCTAGTAACAAGTAGCTGAAAGAAAAGGCGTAAGGAACAGTCTCTAGAAGTATGACTCATATGTGAGGTGACACCCCCCCTCCCCCACGGGCCAGCGAACCAATCAATGGCCAGCAGTCTGCTGACGTCAAATCTGCAGTACTAGCCCAGCCTGAATGGAACCCCTGGTCTCTGGATTTCAAACCTCAAGCTGGAATTGGGCCCAATTGCCCAATGCCAACACTCAAAACCTGGTGCGTGCCAGTCCAAGCTGGGCCACACCTTACAATGCATACGAGCCAACAGTTGGTAAACCAGAATCACTATCTACTTTAAAAAATATATATACTGGTACGTAATTCTGTTGTGTGGTAATAAATAGGAATGTCTTTGCAACAAGCTGACCTCGTCTATCCACCCACACCCTGGTGTGTGAAGAAATCTGTACTACTGTGTCCTCAGGCAGTAATCCAAACCTAAGTGCCAAAGCAGTCTGTTTGCACTTTTGGTCATCAGTGAATAAGAAGATATATTTAAATTCATTCAAATTGCAGAGCATAGCTGTGTTCACTTCAGTTGGCTTGAGAAGCACAACATGAAAATTTTAGTTTAGTAGAGTATACCACAAAGACTCCATCCAGCCATCCATTATCTTTACCTACTTATTCCTATTCAACTTAGCTTAAGATGTTAGATACATACAATTTAAATTTTATGTTTTATATTAGTTATAGTGAATATGGAGGACCCAGCCCTGTCCCAGAAAAAGAATGTCACAGATCTTCACAAATCTTTCTCCCATTTTCTTGGTAGCTTCCACATGACAATAACCACACAGCAAGTTATATATCTTTATGACAATTTTTGAACAAACTAAAAAAAAATCTTCATTTTGGATCAAGAGTTGTAAAGAATCATGACTGTATAGTTTGGATCATAAGAAAATTACATTTAACAGACAAGACATAGCAGCCAAATTCAATTTTTATTTCCACAATGCTGTGGTCTTTTCAGAGCAGTCTTCCTCTGTTCCACCCCATTTTCTTCCACCACAATTCAGCTCAAGCTCTTCACTACTCATATCTTGATCTCACCTCAAGCAACACAGACGTCTGAGTCACTGCAGTAACATGAACATGTTCTCAACTGTATAATTTACAGTCTTGTTTAGGTTCATACTATCTCAACTAGGGATGCATCCAACCATTTCCTTTAACCTTTAATCCTTTAACCATTTCATTTAATCTATGCAATTTCTATTTTTACATTGATGTCACTAGAGTCCCATTTTATCTCCCTTCATTCCCCATAAACCAAAAAGGCTTTTGCCTTAAGATCAGTTACCCTACCATTATCCAAGGAGGGCACCCAGCCATGCTTACAAACTTTTTGTTTCTAATAGTCACCTTGAACTGCACACCTATGGTGCTTTGCCACTGTCTCAACTTTCATCGGTTTCATACGACACTGCACCAGTTAGGGCCTGCCCACTGTTGGTACCCACCTCCACTCAGCCTTATTTAAGGGACCACCTTCTTTGAGGTTCTATGCGGGCTGCTCCGAGGTGCCAATTTTGACAAAAGCAGACAGCAGCTGGCCAGTGGAGCTGTGTCACTAGATGACGCATCCAGCAAAACTGCAACCTACCGTAAATGTCAGTATACAAGTCGCTACTTTTGTCTCATATTTTGTACCCCGCAGTTTATATGCAGGAGCGTCTTATTTATGCATTTTTTATGCATTTATAATTTTTAAAATTTAAATATTTATATTTTATTTTGAAAGACATCCTGCCATCTCTCGGTAGCTTCCTGCTACTGACTAACATTTTACTTTCACAGAGATGGGTGCTCGTGGCTCCCAGCATCCTGCCCTTCATGGGGGCAGGCATTTGTGACACAGAGAGAATGCCCTCAGGTAATCAGATGTACAGCCTTTTGCTCAGTTTCAAATACCCAACTATAACTCCACCCACCTTGTCATCATGTGACCAGAAGTCTAACCGAATAACCAACAAGGTACTCTTGAGGACCACCCCCCAAGAGAGACGTGAATTAATTTCTACAGATTGTTCCCGTGTTGTTATGGATTTTGCACTTCATGCACAGAACTAGGGCTGAGTACCGAACCAAGGTTCTTAAATGGCACCCACTGAACTGCACCAGTCAGTGTATGGATTGAAACGTTACTCTTTTTTTGGTGTCAAGTTTCGGTATTGGCTGTAATGTGTCACGTGGTTTCAGCACGCAGGCAGGTAAAACACCAGACATATGAAAAACAGACTACGTGTTTACACCCAGAGCTGCCGTACCTAATCTATGTATAATGTACGTCTATGGGGCTGGTTCCGCCCACAGACGGGTTCACGTGTGCAGCGCATGTTGTCGAACGGCTTCGACAACACACGCAACTTTCTGCTCGTGTTTTTCTGCAAGAAGAGAGATGGACAGCAGCCTCCCCTCCTCCTCTCAGCATTAAAGTCAGTCTGTGTGTGTTAAACGGACTGAATCAACATTCCACAACCAGACTCCTCTTCATCAAAGAACTCCCAAGGACGGAGTTGTGTCTGTGTTTTAGCTGGCGAGTTTACGTTTGTTAATGTTACTGCAGCTTAACACGTACATCGCGGTGAATTAAACTAGAATCCATGCAACACTAACTTTAAGATGTTAGTGTGTAAATTTATTTTATCTACGTAGCTAGCTAAACTCAGAAGCTAACTAAAGATTGACAGTAACAGATGAAGCTTAGCTTGTAAAAGTGTGCTCATCCATCGGATCAGCTGCTTAAAAAGTTCACCTAATGTTCACTGTTTGTTTATGTTCTCCTCACAGGAGGTTCTGACCCTCATGTGAGGATGGAGACTCACAAAATAAGTGAGGTGGGGACCACAGGACAGTCACAAACTTTGTTGTTAAAAGTTTGCTGCCTTTTTCTACAGTGGAGGCTGCATGGTAATTGCGTTGTGCTGCCACTGCAACGTCATCATGTTGTGCTGCTGCTGCAGGCAAAAACAGCGCCTTTTATATCAGCGAGTTATTTTAATGGAATGGCTGATATCCAATATTGAACTTTAACGCTAATATCAGCCAATACCATGCCGATAATGTCATGCATCCCTAATTTTGAGTTGTGTTCCCTTATGACATTGTCACAATTCAGACCGTCACATAAGCGTTAGCGACAGCAGACGTTTCCCCTACCATTATACAAGCAGGGCACCCAGCCCTGTCAACAGAAACGAGCGCCCCGTCTACCGAACCCCACCCCCCTGTTGGCACTGACGTAA